ACACACACACACACGCACACACACACACACACACGCACACACACACACGTAAAAAAATAAATAAACAACTTATTTTTATATCTTACTTTTTATTTTTTATTTGGTGGAGAGTTTTTATCTGACCCTAAGGCAAAAGTTCTTCAGTTTATTCTTTTGCAGAACATAGTTTTTTTTCGGAATTTTTGAACGATGTCCGTTTTTTTTTCCCAACAGGATTCAACGGTGATTCAACATGATTCAACGGGGATTCAACGGGATTCAACGGGATTCAACGGGGGTTCAACGGGGATTCAACGGGATTCAACGGGATAATTTTTTTTTTGGTTCACGTGCGTCCAGCTTAGTGTACGAGGCCCAATGCACCCTCCCCGTTGAAAAATATTCAACGGGGAGGGCCCGTTCTACCATTCAACGGGAATTCGACGGGGCCCCGGGGGCTATTAAACGGGTACAACGGAGTTGAAACTTTCCCGTTGCCCGTTAAATAGACACATGGGCAGAACAAGAAAGAGAAAGAGGGAGAACAGAGTGATGCATGAGGAACCAAACACATCAGCAAGGCTTCCAGAAAGAAGCACAAGGGGTGGTCACTAAGCCACGGATGAGATGGCGACAACATCCGTGGCAAGACCTCCGCGGCCCTGTCATATGCAACCCCCTGCCCTGTATAGATCGTCCAGTTGACGCATTCACAGTCCGCCTGATCTCCGTGTGCTCTGCACCCCAGCTCGTTGCTGCTCGTCGACTCAGAGCGTAGGTTGACGTCATCGTCGATGGCCGGATCTTCGCAAAGCTTACTGATTCATGCCGATGGGGAGAGGAGGGGGAAGGGTTATGTGATTGGGGCCTACCGCCTAGCTGGAATAGGCCAGTAGAGGCGGTACATGGAGGGGGTCTCGCGGGGATGACGGGGAGGAAGTGGGGGCAGGAAGCGATTCATCCCTTCCATCGTCACCGGGAGCTCCTCATATCGGATGATCCGGTGGAAGTGGGGGAAATGATCGCCGTTGCGGGGGAGGGAAGCGAGGTAGTCGCGGTAGAAGGAGGAAAGGGTGCGGAAGAGCGCCGCTCGAAAGATCTCGAAGTGGCGGCAAGCGAGGATTGTCCCCGTGGCGACGCAGTAAACCTCTACCACGTTGCATCGCTCCCATGCAGCGCTGAACAACAGCAGATGCCAGCAGAACGTGGGGGCAGCAGATTGAAGGGAGGCGTGGGGGTGGACGGTGGCGAGTAGACGGGTAGAATAGAAGTCGCGGAAGAGATGGGGATGGAAAGGATGGGAGGGGAAGGTGACGGGGGTACAGATCTGCTCGAGGGTGAGAAAATCAAGGGGTCGGCGGGACAGCGTTCGAGGACGAAGGCCTATGGCCCGCATCGGTACGTGGGCAAACCGGGGGACGGGTGGGGCTGGGGGAGGAGGGGGATCGGCTCCGTCTCCGTCGCACGGTACTTGAGGTGGCGGCTGCAGGGTTGCCATCTTCGGGCTTCGGCGGCTCTGGATCCCTGATCGGGTCATTGCTGATGCGCAGGCTAGTTTGGCTGGCGAACTCCAGTTGGCGCTTCCCGGTGACAATTTCTTCGCGTTTTTGCGCCGCTTCCGGATCGTCTGCCTCCGTTCCTGTACGCGTCGCTTCCTCCGGCAAGGCTTCCCACTCGGATCCAGTTTTCTCTTCCTCCTCTTCTCCTTCGCTCAGTTCGCCCTCGCTGTGCTYACTATAGCTTCCCTCCTCCGATGTTTCTTCGTCTTCGTCTTCTTCTTTGTCGTCRTCGATCACTACTTCCTCTGCCCTCGGATAGAAGGCTTGAGGGATGATCTCGTACGGCTTCAGGTACTCCTGCCGCGATGGTAGCGTATCCTCCTCCCTAGGTTCCTCCAAGCACGCAGTCCACTGAAGGTACGGGTCCAATGATCGCTCGAAAATGTACGGAGCAGGACTGTCGTCACTCTGAAAATAGATGYCGGGCGAGAGGTCGTTCGCGAGTTGCCASATCGGTGCGATAAGCTCCTGCGCAATCMGGTGGCGTCGACCCGGCTGTACCAATCCGAAGAGAAACCCAAGAAGATCTCCTTCCACGTTAGTCCTCCAAGCCTGTATGATCAGCAGCTCCGGATTCTCGATCCACGTGGGATGCTCGCTAGTGCCCGTCCACGTCACCTGTACTCTGGCCAGGCATAAAGACAGCTCCTCAAACGTTTCGCACCACAACCGCCAATGTCCAGGATTGATAAGAGGGACAAAAAGAGGCTCGAACGAGAAGGAAAAAGAAGGGTGAAGATCAGATTGCCAGAAGGTGGGGAAGAGAGAGGGGAGTGCAAAGATAGAGAGAGGCGCGAGGAGATCGGCGTGGTTCATTGGGAATGTGGGAAGGGGACGAGGGTTGGGATCGCAACTGGCCGCTCGCGCGGTGATCGATGAATATTGTCTAGATCCGGTGTAAAGTTCGGGATGATGTTATACCCTTGTCGGGCGAGGACGTGCTGACACACGTTGGATACTTGCTCCGTCCATTCGCGCAGCGAGGTCAAGATCGATGTATGGAACAACAGATTGACCGAGCTGATGTCGTAGGTGAAAGCTGCCACCGTGGTAACGTGGCTCGTTCTGGGACCTGCTCGCCGATGAACTGCAGTTACCTCCGCGAATACCACTGCGTGAGGACTTCCTTCGATCCGAAACGCGGCGGCGGCACAGATACCTTCGTCGCCGAAGAATCGCATCAGACGCCGAAGATCTGCATTGAGCCGAGGGTGACAAACTTGCCGAATCTGTGAGATGTGGCCACGTGGCTGCAACAGCTGCGCGTCAAGAACCCGCTCCGTGATAAAACTCATGGCGGGGTGGGAGAGGGAGAAAGAGGAGAGAGAGTTAGATCGTCGTCGTTCTCCTCGCTTTCCGAGGAAGTTAGGAAGTTCGGAAGGAGACAGAGGTAGGAGGTATGCCGGACGATGGGAACAAAGCTATGGCTGGCACTAGCTTCAGGCGCGATTCGCACCGTGTTGGCGCGGTTGGGTCCAAGTTCGACAATGCGAAAACAGCCAGAGAATTTGGGAGCGAGTTTCCTGTCGCGTGCACATTTACGTACCTGCACTAGGTCCCGTAATTTATATTGGTACAGGGGCCCAACATTTCCATTCCGGGCCTCGTAGCTAYGGACCTGTCTACCGTGGGCCAATTCGGTCATCCTTTGCCTTTTTCGGCCCAGCTTCGGGACGGCCCGTTCCATTAACTCAGTGTACCTTTTGGCCTTGGCCCTGAGAGCTGCACACGTGTCTCTACCCCCTGCTTCGGCAATTTYCGAGTTACCCCGGTAATCGACACGGGGGAGGCTATTAGTTCGAAGCTGAAAGGGGGTAAACCCCGTAGATTCATGAGGGGTGGCCCAGTGGATCCCAACGATCTGATATACGATCTCGGGCCAAGGACGCATATCGTGTGCCGCTAAGTTCCTGTGAAGGGCGGTTTTAATCATACGGTTGGCATTCTCGGCCAACCCGTTGGACTGGGACATGCGTGACGCCCCTTCGCGCAAGCAGTTCTTCTACCTCACCTTTGAATTCCGACCCATTGTCAGTTAGAATTTCCTCTGTATCTAGGTGGGTATAGAGGAATCGTTCGATGTACGTGGCTTTTTCTGCGGCCTTTCCGGTCTTACAGGGATAGACTTCAATGTATTTGGAAAAATGGTCAATTAAGACTAAAAGGATAGAATATTCACAGCGGTTTGGCTCAGGTGGCACGTCAATATCTGTCGTGTTCATACTTACTCGCTGGAAGGGACACTCTACTTCCGTTGGTAGGATCGTGTTGGGTCCCCGTATAGGGGCGCGATGAGCGGCACAGACCAGACAGTTAGCGACAATGTACTTGACGTCATCTTGTCGGTTCTGGTCTACAGTTGCCTCTGTGACACGTATTGCAAAATGAGCGGCCTGTTCTTCGTGAGCATATCGGATCCAATCGTATCTCGGGAATGGATGGGGAACCGTCAACCACGAACCTGATCCGTCAATTTTACGCTTTTCCAAATGACCGTTGATCCATCGATAATCCCAAGATCTCTCGGTTGCCCTACGCCTGTCGTGTTTGGTGAGGTGGCCGAATGACAGTCCCACTAATTTTGCTAATAAAATTTTATCCGTCCAAACCTCCGCTCGTCGGTATTTTTCGTAGTATTCAGGGCCGTCCATACGGGCAGCCTCGAATCGAACCTCCGTGGGGCGCTTGTTCGTTCTACACAGGGGGCACCTCCATTCCTTGCTACTCGTCCGATATCGAACGCAGGCCCCGTGCGCACCGTTGACACACGTGGCACATTCTACCCAATCGACAAACCCGGTCTCGAAAGTATGATAGTCGACCCCATAAACTCGTGCAATACACGTGCAAAAATAACAGAATTTATCGGGGAGGGTGGCGAAGAAAGCGGAGGACGTGAGAGGGGCAGAATAAGTAGGAGATGAAGGGGTTGCGGAGGCGAGTGGGGTAGTCATGATGATAGAGGAGGAGAGATAGGACTGACTTGTGGAGGGAGTGGAACATACAAATTAGTCCTCGTGCCACTTACTGCTTCGACAAAATCTCCACTTGGCCGTACCGGGGTCCAACCTCCTGTTTAGGTTCGTTCCATGGAATCACCGCCTCATTCTTCGGAACTTTCTCAGGTCGGTGCAGTCGTGTCAGTCCGTCTGCATTCCCGTGTCTCTCGTGCTTCCGATGACGAATGTCAAAGTGCATGCTCTGCACACCGTTGCCCATCGCCGGATCATGCCTGAGTAATCCTTCGACTTCTTCAGAGCCAATAGGGGCTCATGATCAGTCACCAGGGTGAATCTTCGCCCGTACAGGAAAGCACAAAAGTGACTGATTCCCGAGAGAGCGGCATAGCATTCACCCGTTGAAGCGGAGTAGTTGCGCTTGCAGGCGGGCACTGACTTTGACGCATACTCCACCACACTCTCGAGTCCGCTTGGTCCCACCTGGGCAAGGATCGCCGAAATCACCTCTGGCTGCCAGTCAGTGATGAGAACAAAAGGTTTTTCAGGATCGGTCTTATAAGGACCGGAGCCGAAATGAGAGCGGCCTTGAGTGTGGAAAACGATTGATAGCATTCTGGCGTCCAGATCAACGGCTGATCCTTGAGCAACAGATTTGTGAGGGGTCCCACAATCGCCGCGAAGCCCTTGATAAATCTTCGGTAGCCCAGAAAGGCGCGAACTTGCGTGATAGTCGTAGGCACCGGCGCGTCCCTGACAGCCGCCACTTTTTGTGGTTCTGGTTGGAGTCCCTTGTCTGTCACCACGTGCCCTAGGAAGGAAATGGTGGTGTGGAAAAACTGACACTTCTCAAGTGCCACTTTCAAACCTGCATCTCGTAACGCATGCAGTGCCCATTCGATGTGCTGCATCTGTCCTTCGTAGGAACTCGAATACACCAGGATGTGATCCATGTACACAATCACGCAGTATTTGATGATGCTCTGCGCCAAACGAGTCTTCCTCACGAAATTCTGAAAAGCCATGTTCATGGCCCGTTGAAAGGTCGCAGGGGCAATGCAGATACCCATCGGACATCGAATCCACTGCCATGTACCTTCGAAAAGCACGAACGCTGTTTTCGGACGATCTTCCTCACGAACAAGAAGATGATGAAACCCATGGCGAACATCAAACTTGCTGAAAAATCGAGCACTCCCAATCGCATCCAATAACTCATCAATCCGGGGGAGGGGATACACATCTTTCATTGTGATATCATTCAACTTTCGATAATCAATGTAAATGTGAAGCCCTCCAGCCTTCTTAGGTACGATCACTACAGGGAAAGACCATGGATCTATAGCGGGTTCGATCCATCCATTAGCTTAAACTCCTTAATCCGCTGAAAAGCGGCCGCCCTTTGAGTAGGCGAGTATCGGTAGGGAGCGCAGCTAATGGTGGATGATCTCCCGTGAGAATGGCATGCTCGATTACATTTGTTAAGCCGATGTCGTTATCATGTATGCTCAATACTTCTTCGTAGCCATTTAACACTCGAATTAACGATTTCCGAAGTTCCGCGGAAACGTGACCTGGCAAGGTGATCATTGATTCCCCGGAAATCTTAAGGGCATATCGATCCAATCAACCGGGCGTTCTCATCGATCATGGACACTAGAAAAAACGAAACTAGTGGTGAGAACAGAGAAGACAGTTGCTATCATCTGGGACTCAGCAGGGCTGATCATCTCTGTTTCCTTAGTTTCAGCGTCAGTTTCTAAACCAACCGAGGTCGGTTCAACTGTTAGCCCTGTTAGATCCGTCATTTCTTGCATCAGATTAGGTACATCATTTACCGGTGCTTCTGCCTCTTGTTTAATCAAGGCGATGGTCGCTCCTGTCATTAGTAACGATCGGGGTGGAAAAACTTAAACGTCTACATACTTTTTCGTTTGCTGATAACTCGTTCGTAAGGAGAGAGCTCCCTCGTACAAGGTGCGAGGGGGTTTCAAGTCGTCAGTCTGATCGGAAACTTGCAATATGGGCTCCGCGAGGAGGACTGAAGGACTAACTTGAGTTATCGGCGGCGGAAGTGCGCTGTCTCCGGGATCAACGTGAAAACTTTGAGCAGGGTCGGGGCACACTTGGAATTCCTCGGGAATTTCGCGTTCGAAAAGTTCAACCAGGTGCTTCCATTCATCTTCGCTGGCCAACTCTTCTTCGTATTCTTGTTCTCTGATTCCATCACTGATGTCCGAGGGAGAGCACTTCTCGGGATCAACGCATCGAATTATCCCAATTTGGGCCGAGTTAGGGACCCGTTTTATCGTTCGGGTGGAAACTCGCAAAGGGACCGTTTGAGGCTTTCCCCTTGTTTGCGTGAGCACCAATTGCCTCGAATCGAAATGCAGACGTGCGCCTACCGTAATCGCCTAAGGTAATCCCAATAACACAGAATAGGAACGTACATCTATCACGAGCGCATTAACAAGAACGTGTACTCGCCCGACTTTTACAACCACGTTCTCGATAATGCTTACAATGTTCATTGCCTCCTCGTCGGCAGAGACATAATTGTCTTTGCCAGATTCAGGAAGAATGGAGCCCAGTCGTCCCGTCTTTTTGACAGTATCCAATGATATGGCCACGACAGAAGACCCTGTGTCAATAAGGGCATTA